TTAATGATTAATAAAGTATGTGCAACTGGAATAGGAAATAACATTTTAAAAACTAATATATTATGCCCTCTCCTCACAACACACATACAAAGCCAATATGGTTCTCAATGCAAATGTTTTACTTTTGGAAACACTAACAAAGATATGTCAATCATTGCTGGAGAACTGGGTAAATCATGAATAGTGATGTAGGGAAACAGTTCTAGCTCTTTGTAAAGCATTTAGTAATGATGCCCATCATGTTTTACTGTATTTAGATAATTTCTGAATGAAAGGCACAGCAGCTATTCTCCAATATCTAGACACAGCAATTTAAAACTCCATTTTGTGCAAGGCTCTTACCACTAACAAGGCACTATCATCAGTGTGCTGAGACCTTCTGGATGGGAAGGGACACTGGAGAGGTGGAGAAAATGAAGCAATGTCAAAAACAAACTATGCACACACGCAACATATTTCACAATTAACACAAGCAGAAACATATTAAGACACACTCGTGAAGATGCCAACATATATGATCGTATTCACCATCACCTGGAATTCATGTACCATAATAGGTAATAAGTTGATTCTGAGTAATGATTTTGTTATAAAGAAGTTAAACAACTTCAAATATGATCTTATTGCCTCAATGAGAGGACAGGGATTATTCTTTTTTCACAGAAAAGAAAGCTGAAGTATAGATGGAGCAATAACGTAAGAATTTGTGGTCATTTAGTGAGCCAGTGAACTAATTAAAAACAATAAACTCAAAGAGTCATGATTTCTAGTCCAGGCATCTCTTCATGACCTTTCTCAGAAAAAACAAGAGTATAATTGCAAATTTTAAAACTGTGATTTTCTTGAGAAGCTTTAATTTTTAGATAATGAATTCTCCAGAATGACCATCAAGAAGGAAACGTGGGGTAAAAAGAGTTCATTAACTTATCAAACTTTGGTTGTCAAAAGGTTTGTACAGAATTATTGCCTTGTGAAGAAAAGACAACTAAAAATGCTTAAGTGAATCTTTCAGGTATTATGCCAATGCATAAGTTCTCATATAAATAAATAAAAAGTAGTTATTGTATGTCCAATAAGATTTTTTAAACTTTATAATCAATAATTTAAAATATTTCAAACAACACATTTTTACCATTCCAGAAACACTTGTGCTTTAAAAATACTGTGCTGAAAACTGATGCTTGTAAAACCCCATGTGTGTGGTTTTCAAAAAATTTACTTTACAAAAAGAAACTCAAGATTCATATAAAATAATGTCTTTTGGTATTTTTTGAAGTAATGATCATAAATTGAATAAATAAGAGGGCACAGATAAAGGAAAATGGCTAATTAGAAAGCCAGCTACAATAAAAATATTCACTTAGTAAGCTTCATTATTAAAATAGGTGCATAAATTTTAAAAAGTTTAAGCAATTAATTTTACATGTTAACTTGTAATGAAAATATACTACTTAATATTATAAAACTAATCTGTACAAAGTATAATCAATAACACACACACTTGGGAAATGATCAATGAAGCTGAAATACTATGTAGTCTTTTTTTGTTGAATACTGATACCATTCACCCTCGTAAGACTCTCACTATACAGTGTACTTCAAAAATGGATGAGGGAGCTGATACCTCTGGTGAGGATGGGGAGGGAAATAAATAATCTCCAGGTGGACCTGTATAGTTTAAAACAATCTACGGATCCTGATCTACAAATTCTGATAAACTCTCTGGGCCTGTGTCTTCTTTTCCTAGTAAGTAGAATTTTGTGAGGAGAAAAAAGAAAGTGGCAAGATACAGATCACTAAAAACACATGACAAGCACATGCCAAATATTTCATTTCTATTGCAATAATAATTCCAAAGAAAAGTTGATTATATAGACTTACCTCGCCACCTAAGAAGAGTTGTTGTTTTTGTGGACTGTGTGATGCTTTTTGCTATAAACCCCCGGGCCCCCCAAAAAGGAAAGTTGGTTAGAATCTGAAACACTAGAAATGATAAATTGTATTTACTAAAATAATCACATTAATATCTGTATCTCTTGTGCATAGCACTTTTCTAGATTTACTGGTTAGAAGATGATGCCCTTTCCCTTAAACAGCTTAGAATTTAAATAAGGAAAAGCACTAAAATGACAAATAATACTTTCATGTCTATAAGCACTATAAGAAGAGATTTTACAAACGTTTTTATATGTATATGCATACAAACACATTCACAATCAAAGTAGTTATCTCTCACTACATTCTCTCAATGAAATCATTTTCTCTTTCTCTAATGCCTTTAAATATCACTCAAATGCTAACAGCTTTAGCTCTCGTCTAGCAGCCAAATTTCACGTTGGCATTTTCAACTGCCTGTGAAAACATGCCAGGTGGAAACACCACTGTCACCTCATGTTCAACACATCCCAAAGCAAACTCACAATTTCCCATAATAACTGGCTCTTTCCTCCAATTTGCTAATTTCTATTATTATATCAAATAATAATTTAACATCTGTATAATCCATGTTTTACAATGTGTTCTTATATACAGTATCTCAAGTGATTCTTCATACTTTGTGAGATAAAGAAACATCATAATTATATTCATTTAAAAATGAGAAAATTGAGGATAAGAGAAGTTATGTGACATATGCAAGGTCGCAAAGTTGGTAAGTTGCATAAATGAGATTTGCACCTATGTCTTCTGACTCCAAATCCTACATTCTTTCCACAATGCTAGACTCCATTAAAACCATTCTTTTAGCCTCAAAACCTTGTTATGGGGCCTTTTCTTTCTTTTTTACTCAACTTCAATGATTTATTCAACGTTCACTACACATCTATGATGCTTTTCTTGAAATCTCTCTTATAGTGGTAGAGGGTGCAGCTCTCACCATACTAGTAAAAAGTATTAGATGTATCCATAATTCTGAACAAGTTAATATTTAACAGTAAAATATTACACACATGAGGAAACTAGAGGCACAGAATGGTTCAGTAACTCCCCAAAAGTCTAGCACGTACTGAGAAGCAAAGCTGGATTCAAATTCAGATATTTCTGATTCTAAGCTCTTAACACACTACGCAACACTTAGGAACCTTAGAAATCATCTAGTTTTATGCCTTTATTTTGCATCCTAGTCTAATTATTGCAATTATTCTCTATTTCATTTTCCTCTTAGTTTCTTTCTAACATATTCAACATAAATAGATTAGTTTTTTAGAAGTACCTTTCCTCTGTTTTGATCCTGCTTAAGAACTAAAAATTGTTCTCTTCTGCCTAACAGATCAAGATCAAACCCTAATCTGACATTTAATAATCAAGACTACGTACAATGTCATTATCTCTTACTAGCTATATGACTTCTACAGAAGGCAAGCTACCGTATTTTGCTGTGTATAATGCACTCCCGTGTATAATTGCGCACCCACGTTTTTGGCCCAAACTGTCAGGGAGATAAAAACTTTTGTTTTAATTTTTTAATTATTTGTTTACATTTAGGTACTTGTTTTTTGTATTATAAAGGAATTTTAGCATTTATTTTTTAACATATTATGGTATAAGAAATTTTATGTATCGGTAATAAATTTACAATATTTACGCATCATAGAAGGCCAAGAACTCTTTGTAATTCCAAGTTCATTGTAAGTTCAACAAAACCAATTATTATATTCCACGGTATTATTTTGCATACAGATATCATTACTGACTTCTAAAGTTACACTTTTAACTCATAAGGATAAATAAAATAATTAAAAATATTTATACAGATATGGAATTAGTACTATCCATGTATAACGCACATCCTTATTTTTCCCTCACTAATTTGGGCAAAAAAGTGTATATTATACGTGGCAAAATACCATAAATGAGTTAATTTATGTAAAATGAGTAGAACAGTACTGAGGACATAGCATGTGTCAGCCATTAATTACTATTACTGAGTCAAAACAGCACTGTGGTCATAGAGTAGGCTTTGGAACTAGCCTGCCTTGTTTTTTCTTTTTTAAGAAACTGTTAATTTTCCATCAACCTTATTTCCATTTTCTGTTCATCTTGTCTTGATTAGACTCCTTGCTCTGCCACATACTAACTGAGTATTTAACCTTAGGCAAACTGTTATCCTCTCTGAGTTACCAGAGATCATCATCACAGGCTGATACATTTGAAAAAATTAAGAGAATTTATCTTGTGTTTGGTACTTAAAGAAGATGTTCTTTGGCTAGAATTCTGAAACAAGTGAGAAAGCGTTTGGAGGACAAGAGGGATGCATTGAATCATTCACTTAACAAATATTTATTGAGCTTTACTATAGGCTAAGACCTGCTAAGATCTAGGGACATGGCAGTGAATAAACAAGACAGACATGGTCCCTGTCTTCATGGAATTTACCGATAAATGGGAGAGAGAAAGATATTAAACAAACAAAACTATAAATAATTATTTTATTATGAAGAAAAAAATCCAAGGCAATTTCAGAACAAAAAGATTTAAGTAATACAGGTAAAAAACAAACAAACAAAAAAGAACCCAGTTTACATGCAACTATAGAGGCAGCAAAATGTTAAAAAAAGAAATATTAACAGGGGTTGTTAATTGAGTACGTGTGGAAAGAACAGAAAGAAGCAAAGGTGACTTAAGTATTAAGCCTATGATCCTTGCAAATTTTTGCAGAGTGAGGAAGTTAGAAATAGGTTCAGATAACAATAGTTTATGTTTGTATGGCACTTTTACTTTCATAATATTATTGCTCTTTACTAATGCACTAAAGATTGAGAAAACTGCAGATGGACAGTAAAGTGATACGTCTAATGATAGACTGCTAATTAAGAGGAGGAGACTACTGTCCTAACATCACTTCTAATTGTCCTCAGGCCTATCTACACGAGGACAATTAATCTAATCACAAGTTGGAGACAGTTCCACTATTTATTCAAGATTCCTTATATAATGGGGAAAGAAAGTTGACATTTTAATTAAGACAATAAAAACTGAGCCTCAGCAAAACAAACAAACAAGCACTTCTAAGAAACTTCAGGGATACCATTAAATGCATTCAAAGGACTCACCTTGACGAAGTCCAGGACAGCATCTCTCTGAATCTGCTTGGTTCTGATTTTCTCCTCCTCATACTGTAAGGCAGCAAGCTGTGCCTCTCTCCGAGTGCGCTCTACTAACTGTTCTCTTCTCCGATGAAGTTCCAAGTCTGTATGTGATACCTGGAACAAAAGTCAGTTTGCATATGCAAGTGGGGATAAAGATCAACTTATCAATGTTCCTTAATAATTTAGGGAACTACTGCTGACCCAACTTTTACTTTGCAGTCACTTAGCATTTCTTTAAATGTGTTTATTAATAATCTTTTCTCACCTTTGTACTATTTTCTTATATGTACTATAAAGCTATCATATCACATGGAAATAAAGGTTTATTTTCTGTCTGGTATCTAAAGACACTGTTAGCAAGTATCAGGTACACATGTTATAGTAATTGTACTGTCAAGGAGACAGGTAGTGAAGTTTATAGATACCTGGCAATTAATGGTAATTTAAATATTATAAAATAAGAAAACCATTGTAGTTAAAAAATCAAAACTGAAACAAAAATTTTTTTACCTGATTGTGACCTGGTGATAGTGACAAGACAGAAGATGGCTCAACTGGAACCCTGAACCAAAAAAGAAAAAAAAGAAATAAAACTCTTTGATAAGCCAGACAGATATATAAAAGATAAGTGAAACTTCATTGTTAATGTAGCTTTTTATTAATCAACAGGCAAACTGTCTAGTCATACTGAAAGACTAATGCATTTTGTAAACTTGAGCCCATCATTAAATTAAGCTACACGTATACCTGATGTCTATAACTCATGTTTCACGTGATGATATCACTGATCAAGCTATAGATACCTAACAACTGTCTGTGCCAGCCAGTGCTGACAATAGATTTGAGATCACTTTTCAAACAGTATCATTTCTATATACCACAAATAGCTACTATCTTCTTTACTATGATGATTGAAACAAGATACATGTAAATGGAGATCGTTTTATATACAAAGCCATTTTATCAACAGAAATCTGGAATACTACAGAACCTGGTGAGTGTGCTTGTAGAGCACTCTTACTCTCATTTTCAACTGATGAAGCAATTTTAATAACAAAAGTAAAGGTTCTGTTGATTTTTATTTTTAAGAAAAAGATGAAAACTAATTTGATGCTTAAAAAAAACAGGTAAACAGTAAAACTTGCTTCTCAGTTGTATCGGTATTAATTCTTATAGTTGGGTATTCATCTTTTTCCTGAACCGGATTTAGTGTTTGAAGTCTCTGTTATTCCTCTGTGTCTTTAAAACTAATAATGTTGGAGCAGTGACATTTAGGTCCTGAAATTTTAAACTATGATTATTAATTAGGCTGTCAGATTGATTTAAATGCATTAAATCAGTGTATTATTAGGAAAACAAAAACAAATCCCCCAAAGCTCCAGTAGTTTCTTATTACCTATTAATAATAATACCGATTCTTCAACCTGACATTCAGGACTCTCATCCCTTTTAATAAACATACCCACTACGGGAATCTTTTCTCTAGCAAGATCTCTTCAGTTATTGTATATTAATTCCTTACTTCAAGCCCTTTCCAAAAATCTCAACCTATGGAGATCTTCTTCTTAGAAAAGGTCTTTTTAAGAATCTCCCTTTTCTTAAAATTGGGACTTTTGCTGGTTGTTCAAACCCTAATTCTCTCCCCTTTACTCCAAACTCATATCTAACTGCTTACTTGATACTTCACTTGGAGGTCTCCTCGGCACCTCAAATAGAATATAACCACAACTGAATTCCCATCTCACACTCTAAGCTTGTTCTGCTTTGTTCAGACTCCTTAGTATTCCTTACACATACCCAGCATTTTCCTCCATCAGGGCCTCTGCCTTAGACTGTTCCTCCCCTAGACAACCACAGTGCTTGCTCCCTTGCCTTTTTTCAGGTTTCTATTGAGATTAGTATCACTTCATATAAAATTGTTCTCATTGTCCCCTCACTGTGACACTACTAACTCTTTACCCTGCTTTATTTTTTTCATTGCACTTAGCACTGACCGACAAATATTTGTTATATATATTTGTCTGCATCCACTAAAAGCTTAATTCTACTACCTCATAAACCTCCCACACAGCCAGAACCACTGCACTGCACATGAAATATAGTTTGAATGAATGGCAGTGGCACCCTCCCCTTAAAGAGCATGGAATATTGAAACAAAAATGCAGGTAACTATAAGAATCTCTTTGAAATCCTGAACTTATTTAAGCTGAGTAAATCAGAACTTTACCTCTAGAAGGCAGACTTTGAACTGCCCCTCTGTTTTTCTTTGTTTGTAAAATCATATTTAACACGAGTAGCTTTTCTAGTTTTGTCAATCTTAAAGTGAAAATAAAAACTTTCAGGTGTTATCCAAATGTTTTTTAATTCTATATTGCTTCTAATAGAAATTAATGACGTTTACAAGATCAAGCCTGATACTGTCATCTCTCCAGAACTAAAATACCATTCAGATTATAAGCAAGCCATTTTAAAAAAATGATATAAAAAGTAAATGATAATTTTTGTTAGCTTTAACTTTGCATTTATTTAATCCATCTTGGCAAATAACTAGAAAATACTTATCAATTTATCATACTTTTAATTTAATGAATCCTCTACCTTTATTATACCCCAGGCAGGTGGTGTCTATGTGTGTGTGTGGAAGGGGTAGGTGGGAAGCAATGTACATAGGGAGTGAGGTCATGGGAGGAGAATTGGTAGAAAAAAAGAAGCACGCAACTTTCTTTTGAGAAATGACTACTGGTAAGGAGCAGTTTGTTAAGCTGACTCAATTCCTTTTGAGTCTTTATAGCGGGAGGACTAAGATTTTTTTGGTTAACATCTTATTCAAGTTACGGACAAGTCTTGGTAGCCAGACAGCTGCCAATCATTTTTAGGTGATTTTGTTTTTCTAGGTTCTAGTTTCATGATTCCATTTGAACGTAAGCTCTAAGAAGACAGGAACTCTGAAGTTCACAGCTATTTCCCGATACCTAGAAAAGTAGTTGGCACATAGAAGATACTTTGCAACTATCTAACTAAACAAATGAAGTATAGTTGACTTTTGAACAATGTGAGGATTAGGGGCACTGATCGATCACACATCCCCTCACACAGTCAAAAACCCGAGTATAACTTTTGACTCCTCAAAAACTTGTCATCCCTCAGTATCCTAGGGAAATTGCTTCCAGATCCCCTGCGGATACCAAAATTCTCAGACACTCAAGTCCCCTATATATAAAGTGGCATAGGTCAATGCATGCAGTCGGCCCTCCGCATCCATGGGCTCCCAATAGCAGATCAAAACCAGTATAGGTATTTACTGAAAAAAAATCCACATATAAGTGGACTCATGAAGTTCAAACTTGCGTTAAGGTCAACCATATGTATTTACCTTAGAACTTAACTGGTTATTGGAATAAAGTACAAAGTTCTTATCCAAAGACTATCTTAAGGTCTAGTGATTTGAACCACCCAATTAAAAGTACAGTTAGCCTTCCATATCCTAGGGTTCTGCATCCAAGGATTCAACCAACATTTTCTTTTTTTAAACTATAGACTTTTTTTTTTTTTTTAAGATTTTTATTGGGAAATTGGGGGATGGGAAGAGCGCTGGGGATTTGTGGGAAGGGAAACAGACAAGTTGCTGTCCTTTTGTTCTTCAGTCTAGTTGTGGAGGACGTTGCTTCACTGGCCCAAGTTGGCACCATCATTGCACTCTTCCCGTGCGAGGCAGATCAGTTGCCGGCTTCTGGACAGCTGCTCACAGTGGCTGCTGGCCGCTCACGCTGGCTGCTGGCTACACACAGTAGCCCATGGCAACCCACTGCCACAGGGAGTGCAGCCTACGCCGTCGCCGGCGACTCATGGCAGCCCAGCTCCAGGTTGAGCTGTTGTTCAGCATCTTAGCTGTGGAGGGCAGTGTCACTGGCCCTCATATGTGGGATCCAAACAGGGGCCCTCTGGCGTCCCAAGCCAGCTCTTAAGCAACGCACCGCTTGGCCGGCCCTCAACCAACATTTTCAATCTGTGGTTGGTTGAATATGCAGATGTGGAATCCGGGGATACAGAGAGCTGACTAAGACTTGCAAATTCTAGTATCCACAGTGGTCCTGAGGATACTAGAGGGACGACTGTAATCGTGGCTTCAGTTTCTAAGTACTGTAGTAGATCAAGACACTCTGAATGACTCTTCCGATGGAAACAACTAAAATGTTGAATAAAGTAATCTTTTAAAATACACTGCTCAAGTGCTATGAAAAAAAAAAAATCCAGATTCTAAAAAGGAGTAAAAACAGGAATTATGGATTAAGGTTTGATAGGCAGACTTTTGGCCCCTTTGATCTCCATCCCTAGTGTTATTCCAGTGAATACATTATATGTCAAAAGGACTTTGCCAATGAAAGTTACTAACTGGCTGACCTTAAAATAGACAGATTACTCAGGTGGGCCTAATATAATCACACATATCCTTAAAAGAAGAGGAAGGCAAGAGAGTTTGTGAGATGCAGCAGAAAGGGCAATCAGAGAGATTCAAAATGTGGGAAGGATTTGGCCCACCATTGCTGGCTTGATGAAGGAATGTGGGTGGACTCTAGACGCTGAAAATGACTCCCAGGTGATAGCCAACAAGGTAACGGGGACCTCAGTCTATAACTGCATGGAACTGAATTCTGCCAACAACTTGTATAAAGCCCGGAAGTGGATTCTCCTCTAGGGTCTCCTGATAAGAATCCAGGCCAGTCAACACCTTGGCTCCGGCCTTGCGGGACTCTAAGCAGAGAACCAGTGCAAGCCTGTCGAGACCTCTATCCAACAGAACTGTGATATAATAAATGGGTGTTTTCTAAACTGCTAAATTTGTGGTAATTTGTCACAGCAGCATCAGAAAATTAATATATACAGCAAGTGAGCAAAAAAGCTAGCTTTCACTTTGAGGGTTTCTACTAAATCCTGATGTTGAGCTTTACTTACTGGGATGATGGATATAGGAAGTAAGAGGGACAGGAGATAGAGCCTAGGTCCTCCCAAAGTGAAGCAATGTAGTAGGAAACCCTGCATGAAACTGGAATCTCAGAAGACCATGCCCTCACTATAAGTGCACATGGAAACTAAGAAGCCATTTTCAGATTAATTTCAAAGATGAAATTTAACTAATTCCCTATGTACTAACTGATAAGACTATAAAAGGCCAAGTTATAAGTTTCTTTCTTTAAATTATTCTACCCATTTTCTTTATCCATCTGTATGTCAGGACCCTAAACAACTTGAATATCCTGTCAAGTATAAGTAAAAAACTACGAGTATGTATGACCCTTTCTACATAGTAGATTTACTTTTGTTTAAGAATGGGCAGGTTAAGTATACTGTTTTAGGACTTCATAAAAACAGAGAGGAAGCAAAGAACCAAAGGCTAGGAATTTTTCAACTACTGTGATCCAGTTTATGATAAGAAACTTTTTGGAATTCAGGAATAAGAAGCAGTACTAGAAAAGGTCAACCTAATTTTAGAAATACTCTATGAGGCATAAGTATAGAGAAAAGGTCATATCAATTGAAATAGGAATGAGGGTGCATACTGCTGTTTCATTTCTCTCTCTGTTATTTAGTTAAAAGTTTAAGTATAAAAAAATTTCAGAACTCCTGATATTCATTTAGCTCTCTTTATGCATAAATCCAAATACATCACCATAAAAATCTCATTGCTATTAAGATTCTTCAAATCAAATAATTGTACAGGTAATGGTTTAGGTGATCTGAATTTAGAATCAATAAATCAATTTTATTTGTTTTCCTATTAAATTGGCACAAAGGCACATTACCACTCAACTCTAAATACATAGTATCTAAAACACATATCTAAACATCTTCATTATATATCAATCTGCACAAAAACAAAATCATTCCATGCTCTTATTACTGAGTTAAGACAGAAACAAATGAGCAGAATTGGTTTTTCAAACCTGTTATGATGTGAATATCTTCTTGTGTCTTCTGGTTTTTGAAACTCCCTGATGGGTACCGGCTTTCCTGGTGAACCCTATGCCAAAAAAGCACAAATAAATCAATTTAACATATGTATCCAGAACACTGTGATTACACAGTTCAAATATAACTTGGCATTTAGAAAAATGTATATTACACTAAAAAACATTTTAACAGAATCTTCAAATGATTCTTTATGTTTAAAGCATTATAGGTTATTTTACTGCTTTGGTAAACACAAAACTATTCATAATCTAAACGTGTTTATTTTATTTTCAAAAACGTACTTTTCCTTCTCACTGTATTATATAAATTTCTTTATATAAGACTTTGATTTATAAAACTTCATCCAACTTTAAATACAAGACTGCCTTTAAACACCAACAAAAAATACTGTGTTCAAAAGTCTTCAGATAGGAAAACCAAAGGATTTTTTTAAAGAATGATAGTATCACTCCATAACATGTCCTACTTGAAGTGATTATTCTCTATTTCATAATTCTCCAAAAAGGCCCCAAGTGTTTCTCAAATAACCCCTGCTAAGAGCCTGGGACCAACTCCAGACATTAACACACTGAAGTGAAGCCATTTTATTATGCTGACTAGATATCCTGAAGAATGCTATTTCTACGTGAGGCCCTTGGGGAACTGGCAGAGATTCTCCAGTGGACTGCATGCTCATTTGTTTTACAAGGCAACTCAATGTTCCACTATAAGAGACACCAAAGAATTTTAATGGCAAACAATTTATATTTGTATAACTGAGCATAAAAGCTCCGATATAATTAAGTTCATTATAAAAATTCTATAGTTAAGTTTGCATGTTGCTCCAAAAGTCATCAGTTTGGTTCAATTCTTAATTACTGATCACATTATGATTCACCAGTTGGTAACAATTAAAAAAAGCAATAAGAACAACAATGAAAAGCATCATATTCCTTTGCATTTTCTTCAAATGTATAGAATAGTCAATACTCCTTTAATTCCTTTTTCAAGATTCTGAAATCTGTCTTTTTATTTGAAAAACAAACTTAAACCCTACTTGAGACTACTGTCTGATTTTTAAAAAATAATTCTGAAAAATTCAGTAATGAAATTGGAACTGAACATAATAAAACAAATAATTAGGCCTAAACCAACAAATCGCTGATATGACAGAACTTGAACTGTTTTTACTGGGGGATAGCAACATATTTAGGCTTAAATGTGTGTACTACCTCATGAGAGATTCGCCGTTGTTCAATATATGCCATAAACTGTGAACTGAGGCTGTCTGAGTCCAGGACCTTGGGCTGTCTGACTTCGTCATCTTCTTCCTCTGCAGTACAGCTGTCAATGTAGTCAATCTGATCCAGATCATGTTCCACTGTCCAATACACACACACATACCAGGAAAAAACATCCAAATTAGACAGCCAATAAAAGACATTAAACTGCATTCTTTCCTTTCCCCTAACATTTTCTATTCTGAAAGTGGAAGGGATGAGAAGTTTATATTATGTAAGCCTTTATTATTTAGTCCCTGGCCACTCACAAAAATAGGCTCCAGAAAAATGTTAGTCCTAATTCACTAAAGAATACAGTAATTGATGGTAATTATTGGAATACAGACCTCTAATATTTCTTTTTTCTTTGGATAGCTCTCTGCTATTTTATTTTTTTATTTATTATTTTTTTTTAAAGATTTTTATTGGGGAATTGGGGGGATGGGAACAGTGCTGGGGAATTGGGGGAAGGGGAACAGACAAGTTGCTGTCGTTTTGTTCTTCAGTCTAGTTGTGGAGGGCGTTGTTTCACTGGCCCAATTTGGCACCATCATTGTGCTCTTCCCGGGCGAGGCAGATCAGTCGCCGGCTTCTGGACGGCCGCTCACTGCGGCTGCTGGCCGCTCACGCTGGCTGCTGGCTACACACGGTAGCCCATGGCAACCCACTGCCACAGGGGCTACAGCCCACGCCGTCGCTGGCGACTCACGGCAGCCCAGCTCCAAGTTGAGCTGTTGTTCAGCATCTTAGCTGTGGAGGGCAGTGTCACTGGCCCTCATATGTGGGATCCGAACCGGGGCCCTCTGGCATCCCAAGCGAGTTCTTAACCATCGTGCCACTCGGCCGGCCCCGCTCTCTGCTATTTTAAATAAGACAGTTTGGGTTTGTGAGACAAAGAGAAGAAGAAGAATTTTAAACATTGAAAGGTACATCTTCTTTCAGGCTTTTCCCCCATGTTTTGAGTTTGGGGCTTAATCATATCTCTTTGAAGAGGTGAAAAGCAAAAAAACCTAACACAATCAACTCAAACGAAAAGAGAAAGGGTAGGAGGAAAGTGAACTTGGAGATAAAGAAATAGATATTGACTACTGTTTCCCTTCCTGTAACTGCTGTCCATAACTGAAACGAAGACTTTCTATTTAGAAAATTATTTTCTAGAGGTCAGCACTGCAGATATTTGTAGCAGTTTGTGGACGGATCATTTGAGGAATTTTTTTCTTCTCAAAATGCTTTGGGGTGAGGAGAAACATATAAATAAGATATAGCCACATCATTATTTCTAATAAGCTTAGGAATACCCCATTATTTTTAAGTTTAAAAAGTAACCATCTTTAAAAGCCAGTTAAAATGGCACACTGAAAAAAAAACTTGCTACTAAGATGGTTTCTCAAAAAATGGATTAAACCCCAGTCATTATTATATGATGTTCTATAAACTGCCTAAAAATTGCCATGGCTGGGAAGAGTGAATTTGGAGAAGTATACTTTTCAATTTAGTTTTCTGATTCAATTATTTCTTAACAATTCCATAATTACAGTTAATATAAAATAAATTTTGAGTTTATTAGTTATATTAATAGGCAAAAGGATGAAAAAGTTGTAACTCTATACCTACATTAGAAACCAGGTACACAAATGCATTTTTTTCAATGTGCTACAATTTGTGAACTAAATAAATGGTTCACTTTATGACTACTTCCCAAGAAAGCAACATCACTTTTTCATACTATCTACGAATGCTATCCAAAAGAAATAAAATGTAAGCCACAAAAGTGAACCACATTTATAATTTAAATTATCTAGTAGCCACATTAAAAAAACACGTAAAAACAGTGAAATTAATTTTAATATATTTTACTTTGTCCAATATATCTAAAATACTATCATTACTATATATAATCAATATGAAGTATTATTAATATTTTATATTCTTTTATTTTCATGCAAAAGCTTCAAAATCTTATAATACATTTCCATTCAGAAAAGCCCCATTTCAAATGCTCAATAACCACATACAGCTAGTGCCTACCACATTGCACAGCACAGATACAGACATTATTGAAGCCTGAAATGAACCAATGAGAAGGATATCTCATATGCAAGCAAGATTAAAAAGAAAACTACTGAAATATGAATTAAATGATAAGTGACAGGAGTAAAAAAAGAATTAGAAGATGGTAAGGAGAAACAGATAGCAAAACATGTAATTGAAATTATCATTTAGAGATGAAAGCTCTTCTCAGATAACATAACGGATTTCTGAAAAGTCAAAGTCATTTCTCCCTTATATCTGGCCCTCAAAATTTAAAAATTAGGGGTTGATAATTCAAATTAAAGCAATATTGAATAGAATGCAGAAAATCAAGAGTCTGCCTTGGAAGCACAAGGAAGTAGAAAGAGCTCTGTCTGTTAATGAATTATAAAAACAAGTATAAAATTTAAAAAATATATTTTTAATTTAAATCATAAATTTTAAAATATCAGAGTAGGAAAACTCAGATTCAGATGTCCCTGAAGAGTACAATTCCAGATGAAAAGTAAAGGTAATAAAAAAATACACTGAATTCAGTAAGGGGTCAAATAATGACCACAAATAGAATCTTTAAAAAGGAGAATAGTACTTCAAAAGAAGATTGTAGTTAAATAAAAATTAACACAGTTCTAGTCCAGGTAAACTGTCTTTAACAAAGTCTCCTCCCAAAATAAAAATAAGAGCGAGACATACTGTAATTTAACCGCAAGCCTGCAAACGTGGAGAAATTACAATTTAATCCAAACAGAAAATATTTTTTTCCCAATCACATCAGAAGAGGAAGTCTTTAAAAGAAGAGCTGAAGAAGTAATAAATATACAAACAAAAGGAGTGGGTGTGAAAAAGACCACATTAAAGACTTTAGATGTCATCAGGAATTAGGTTTACCTCCACCATTTGTTACTACTAAGCTGCTGCGATTCTCCTGGTACTGGTTTTCCCTTCGCAGTCTTTGTTCTTTAGTAATTTCTGCTACTCGAAGAGGCAGATCTGAAAACTCATCTGTAGGCTTAAAAAAATCGCAGAAACACTAAAAAACATCATTCCAAATTTTAGACTACAAAGTATTTAAAGCATGGAAATAATACAAAGCCATTAAAATTTATATTTAAGAAGAAATAGCAAAAAAGTTCTGGAAATGCATACTGGTGACATGTTCTCAACAATGTGAATATACTTAATGCCACTGAAATATACATTTAAAAATGGTTAAAATAGTAAGTTTTATGTTATGTGTATTTGGCCACAATTTAAAAAAAGAACTAGAAAGGTATATAGGACTCTATAAATATACACATGTACATGAATTTAAAGTATCTATATAGATACATATCTACATGTATCTGTATGGATACAGCCAAAAATATGTACTCACCCATTACACAAGCAATTGCACAAGCAAAAGATACACAAGCAATTGCAAATTGCAAATCTGCTGTTGTCTAAAATCAATTTGCTTTAGACTCCCAATGAAATGATGTTATAAGTGGTAGGTCTTGCTAATGAAAGTTTATTTACTTGTTTAACCCAATTTACAGCTAAAATATTATATCTTAGTAATTTTTAAAGAGAAACATGCTAATAATTAAACAAAAGAGAAAAATGATATAATTAGTTAAGAAAGTTGTTTATCTTGAACATGAGGACATTCTTCACTAAGGTTCCCATCTCATTCCCCGTCAATCTATAGTCCTATATTCTCCCCTTTCTACCACTTCTGCTCAAGATTACCCAGCCCCTCCCAACAAGACATACAAACAGCCAACAGATATATGAAAAAATGTTCAACTTCACTAGCTATTAGGGAAATGCAAATCAAAACCACAATGAGCTATCACCTCACACCTGTTAGAATGGCTATCATCAACAAGGCAAATAATTGTTGGAGAGGCTGTGGAGAAAAAGGAACCCTCATACACTGTTGGTGGGAATGTACAGCCACTATGGAAAACAGTATGGGGGTTCCTCAAAAAACTAAGAATAGAATTACCATATGACTCAGCAATCTCTCTCCTGGTATCTACCCAAAAATCTGAAAACATTTATCTGTAAAGATATATGTACCCCTATGTTCATTGCAGCTTTATTCACAGTGGCTAAGACATGGAAACAACCAAAGTGTCCTTTGATAGATGACTGGGTAAAAAAGATGTGGTACATATATACACAATGGAATATTACTCAGTCATAAGAAAAGATGAAATACTGTCATTTGCAATATCATGGATGGATCTTGAGATTATTATGCTAAGTGAAATAAGTCAGACAGAAAAAGTCAAGAACCATATAACTTCACTCATATGTGGGAAATAAAACTGAAGGCAACAAATGAACAAGACAAACAAATAAACAAAAACGTATAGACACAGACAACAGTTTAGTGGTTAACAGAAGGTAAGGGGGGAAGGGGGTAGTAGAAGAAGGTAAAAGGGGTCAAATATATGGTGATGGAAGGAGAACTGACTGGATGGTGAACACACAATGCACTATATAGATGATGTATTACAGAAATGTACACTTGAAACCTATGTAGTTTTGTTGACCATTGTCACCCCAATAAAATTTAATAATAATAAAGAACATGATTACCCAGCTCCTCAAATTTTAGGCTTCAGTTGTAACTGGCTCAGTTCCTGCTTGGCTTTCCAGGATATAAAACTATTTATACAAGATAATGAGGTAACAAATATGAAAAACAAACACAGCAAAAAGATGGTAAAGAGACATGATGCCATTTTTGGATGCTATGACCATGTGAGATTTTTCCCTCCTTTGATTTTTTTATATTTTACATAATGAGAAATTGAATCCAATTAAGAGGCTTGCCATTTTCATTATTTTTCCTCTTATTCTGGAGTTATAACAACGCAGAATAGAAGAAACACTTACCTCATTCCCTGACCATCTCTTATCACCACTGTCCACACTGTTGAAACCTGAATCAAGGGCTCCATAAGGGCGACCTGAGTACAGTTCCTCGTGGCTGCCAAAAAGAGACCTTAGATGTTACTGCAAAGTTTCAAAATTAACATTTGAAATAAATCAAGATGCAATTTTACTAATAAACATTTTCATGGCATTTAGGAACTTAACTACATAGAAATAGGCATTCTTTAAATTTTTAATACTAAAAATTCCAAATTAAAACAGAGTAAACAGAATAGTATAATGACCTCCCAGGTACTCATTAACAGCTTCAAAAATACCAACATTCTGCATTTTTATTTTATCTATTCCTCCACCCATTCCTAATTCCCTCTTAAATTGTTTTTTTTTTTTTTTTTTAAGATTTTATTGGGGAATCAGGGAAGGGGAACAGACAGGTAGACAAATTGCTGGGGTTTTTTTTGTTCTTCAGTCTAGTTGTGGAGGACTTCACTTCACTGGCCCGTGTTGGTATGCTCATTGTGCTCTTCCCGGATGAGGCAGATCGGTCGCTGGTCATTGGTCTCCCGGCAGCTCACACAGGCTGCCAACCTCTCACGCTGGCTGCCAGCCACTCACGTAGCTCACGGCAGCCCACTGCAGCCTACGCCGTCCGGCGACCCACAGCAGCCCAGCTCCAGGTCAAGCTGTTGTTCATCTTAGCTGTAGAGGGCGCAGCGTCACTGGCCCTCATGTGGGATCCGAACTGCAGCCCTGCTGCTCAAAGCTGGTGCTCCCAGGCGAGCTCTTAACCAGCTGAGCCACTTGGCCGGCCCAAATTGTTTTTATTTTTAATAGCACTCTTTAAGGTAAAATTTACATATACTGAAACGCACACATCTTAGCTGTGTAATTCTAACAAATAAATACGTCTTTGTAACATACACCTCTATCATGATATGGGATATTTCTACTTCGTTTCTACTTTGCCAGAAAATGCCCACACTTCCCTTCCCAATTTTCCTGACCCCCACTGTGTGCTCCTAAGAGGCAACGACCATTCTGATTTTCTTCACCTTACATTAGTATGGAAAACAGAAGAATGGTCCCCAAAGATGTCCAAGGCCTTATCCCTGGAAACTGTAAATATGTTACTTTACATGGCAGAGGAGAATTAGGGTTGCAGATAAAAATAAGGTTGCTAAACAGCTGACCTTACAATAGGGAGATTATCTTGAATTATCCGAATGGACTCAATATCATCACAAGGGTCCTTTTAAAAGTTGAAGAGGGAGGCAGAAGAGGGAGTCAGTGTGATGCAATGCTGGCTAGAAGATGGAGGAAGGGACCAGGAGCCAAGGAATGCAGACAGCCTCTAGACGTTAAAAAGGGAAGGAAATGCTTCCCACTGAGAGCCTGCAGAAAAGAATGCAGCTCTGCCAGCATCTTGATGAGACCAACATTTAGATTTCTGACCCAGAGAACTGTAAGATATAAATTTGTGCTGTTTAAGCCTCTAAGTTTTGGTAATTTGTTATAACAGCAATAGAAAAGTAATACAACTAATTTTACTTATTCTAGAACTCATAAAAATTAAATCATATGTACTTTTTTTTTTACTCAGCATCATGTCGGTGAAAATCTTAATTTTTTTTTTTAAAGATTTTTATTGGGGAATTGGGGGGATGGGAACAGTGCTGGGGAATTGGGCGAAGGGGAACAGACAAGTTTCTGTCCTTTTGTTCTTCAGTCTAGTTGTGGAGGACGTTGTCGTTGCTTCACTGGCCCAAGTTGGCACCATTATTGCGCTCTTCCCGGGCGAGGCAGATCAGTCGCCAGCTTCTGGACGGCTGCTCATGGCGGCTGCTGGCCACTCACACTGGCTGCTGGCTACACACAGTAGCCCATGGCAACCTACTGCCACAGGGGCTGCAGCCTACGCTGTCGCCGGCGACTCACAGCAGCCCAGCTCCAGGTTGAGCTGTTGTTCATCATCTTAGCTGTGGAGGGCAGTGTCACTGGCCCTCATATGTGGGATCCGAATTCTGGCGTCCCAAGCCAGTTCTCAACCATTGCGCCACTCGGCCAGCCCAAATCTTGATGTTTTTAATACTTTGGAGTAGAACAGATGAATAAGTATAGGTTTAACTTTTAAATAAAAACTGCCAATCTGTTTTCGAAAGTAGCTATATTATTTTGCATTCCCACCATAATGTATTTGAGTTCCAGTTGCCAACATTTGTATTGTCATTCTTTAAGTGCTTATTGGTCATTCATTTATCTTCTTTCGTAAAGTGTTTAAATCTTTTGCCCCTTTTTAAATGCAACACCAATAATCTTAAAAATATTTTGCTAAGTAAAAGAAGACAGACATAAAACACTACATGTTTGATTTCATTTATATGAAATTCTAGAAAAGGCAAAACGATACTGACAGAAAAAGATCAGTGGTTTTCTGGGGCTGATGGCAGGGAGAAAGGACTTATTGTATATAAACAGGAATGAGGGTGGTGGACATATTATCTATCTTGATTGTGTTGGTAGTTTCACGACTATATCCATTTACCAAAACTCACTTTAGTGCACACATAAAATGGATAAATTTTATTATTTGTAAATTATATTGCAATAAAGCTGCTTTAAAAAAATCTGCCAGTTTTGCTAAAGCAATGCCCCCATTTTTCCATTTCTATAAGCAATGTATGACAGCACTAATCGCTCCACATCCTAACATTTAGGGTTGTTACTTTAATTTTAGTCATTCTAATGAGTATGTAGTGATATCTCACTGTGACTTAATTTGCATTTCCATGATGATTAATGATGCTGAGCATTTTTTGTGTGTGCTTATTGTCATTTTTATATCTTTCTTTGTGAAGTATCTATTCAAGTCTTTTTGTCCATAATTTAATTGGGTTATATTTTTAACATTAAATTGCAGGTATTCTTTAGATGGTCTGGATACAAGTCCTTGTCACACACACACACTAAATGTTTTCATATATATCTATATCTAGATATGGCAAATATTTTCTTCCAGTCTGTGGTTTGCCTATTCATTTTCTTAGTATTTTCTTTCCATGATAAATGCTTTTAATTTATTTTTATTTTTATTTATTTTTTAAATTTTGATGAAATCTAATTTATCGTTTCTTTTTTAAAGGTTATTGCTTTGTGTCCTCAGGAATCATACATAGCCTATCGCAAGTCACAAAGATATTCTTCTCTCTTTTCTTCTAAAAGTTTTATAGCTTTAGTTTTTGCTTGTTCTTAAGCATACTTTTAAAAGTTAGCTTAATTAGAAATCTAAAAGATGATAAAGTCTGTTTTAAAAAACGGTCTATTAGCATTTTATTTAATAAGGCTACATAGGTTGAAAAACAACGTTCATTGATACAAATTTAAGTGTTCTCTGGCACTGAATTTTGTATTCCATATTTCCATATATTCTTACATAGTTCCTGTACCTAAATTTAAAAAGTTATGTCATACTGTCACAATGAATTAGAATTTAAGGTACAGGGAAAGAGCAATGCACTTGGATTTCAGATAAGATACCAGTTTTACTACTTACCAACTGTTAGCTCAAAGAAGTCACTTAATTTTTGTAAAATAAGGTTACATTTCTAATCATATGCCTTTCATATAAAGTGAAAGCTTTATATCAACTAAAAACAAAAGAAACAAAGAACTCTATGTTATGTGAGATAGTTTTTAATAACTTGTCAATTATTTTATTGATAAAGATCTTACTTGTGTAGTAATATACAGACCTATTTGTCCAATGTGTTAAATGCGCTCTGATTATAAAGATCCAAAAATATAGGTACCTTATAGCTATCCTCCTTTTCCTACCTTCCTCCACAAAACTCCTTTAGCCAAAAAAAGTCTCTCAGTATAATTCAAAAATTACCTTTCTAAAAGAAATTCAGTTAATTTCCCCCAATTTTTTATTTTGGAAAAATTCATATCTATATAAAAGCTGGGAGAATAAAACAATAATGAATGTCACTTGCCCTTCATCTAGATCTCCCAATTGTTAGAATTTAAGTAAAATGTTACATTTATCATCTACACAAATATCTGCTTTTATGCTTGCTTTAGAGTCCAGATCTTAAGGACAGGTACTTATGTGTTTTTTATCACAGCAAAGTCAGGTCAAGGTGCCTAATTTTAAAAGCTTTCTAATGAAATATATATTTAAGCCACATTTAAAGTTTTTTTTCTGCAGCTGCCAAAAGAAATATGTGTATTTCAAGATTTACTAAATAATACTTTTAATATTATGTATGTTTTTCAAGTAAGGATTTTCAGATCTCTAAAGGATACTGTTTTATATACTGTAATGTATTTTCTATCATCAGGTGGCCAATCAAAATGAGTCAAATTTTCCTGTAATATTTTTCAAGTGGGCAACATAAAAGAGAATTAACAGAATCTTTGTGTTAAGCTATCATTATTTACCGTCTTTATTCATTTACCTTTAGCTTCTTCACACATTCATTCTGGCTCAGACATTAAACTGATAAGATTAAATTGAGACATCCTGGTTTACCAACTCTCCAGATTTGCTCAGGATGTTCCTGTTTTTAGCATTGAAAGTCACATGCAAACCAGGACAGATGGTAACCCTATGTATAAATATGGCCTTCAAGGCATCAGGAAGAGTTCTGTTAGCCAGTCTCCAGCGATGCCCAGTCAGAAAGTCCAGTCTCCCTAATAAACTACCAAGGTGTAACATAGGTACAAATGCACAAGTGGCTTCTCTGTAGCAGGAAGATGAACTGTGAATCAGTATAGTGCAGTGAGGAGTTTCAAACACAAGTGTTTTTAATAGTTTAAAAGATCTGGATTGACAACTTGGCACCATTTCTTACTAGCTTTATGACTTTAACTTGTTTAACTTCTCTCAACATCTGTTTTCTCATAAGTTTAAAAAAAAAAGGTTAACAACATCTACCTCACAGAGTTGCTATAAAGATTAATTGAGAAAATATAAGCTAAGGACTTGCACAAAGCATTAAATAAAAGTTATTCTAGGAAGCATGCACCTTTAAGAGAGAAGTCACTAAATCTGCTTCATTTGGGTTTAGTTCACCAAACATTTATTGAATGCCAGGCAGTGTTCTATGTGCTAAGAATACAAATATGAATAAAGGACAGTCATTGCTTTCACAAGCTCAGGCTTGTTGTAGAGAATGAATTCCATTATTGGGTTAGGATTTTTCTTACCAGTGGCTTAGTATTTCTTTCCTTAGTTTTGTTTTACTGCCACATTATCATAAACAAGTATAGTTAGTCTGTAATATAAATCTGCTTAAAATCGTCTCAGCAAAAAAGCATAGGTCACTATATAGAGAGATCACTATTGAAGAATATGTGTGCCATTGTATAAAATGAAAAATTTATCACAACAGTGCAATTTACTAAAGGAGTTGAAAACATTCACATTTGGAAATGAGTAAAACATCTGTGACCTTTAAAAAATAATTTAAGGAAGATTGTGTGTTTATACTACACAAAGTAGTTAGACAGTTACATCTAAGGATTGAGAGTATCAGAGCATCTAATTTGTATTGAATACCTGAAGAGCTACAGGCTTAATAAAAATTCTCTTTAGCAAGACAGGAGGACTCGTAGGACTAAATTGGTCCTATATCACAGTAGACAGCTCGTATATAAAATGTCTAATATTTGTATAAGGATTTATGGTCAGTAAAGCACTTTCATACACAAGTTATTGGATCTTCAGAACTACTGTTAAACTATAAACAGGATAAAGATCACACTGAAGAAACTGAGGTTTAAAGAGATTAAGTGAACTGCCCAATAGTGTGGGGATACAGAGCTAGAACCAAGGCCTTCTGATGCCATGACAGCATTTTGAATAAATATACTGCTAACTATAGTGCAATTTTACTAATCTGTACCTCAGTGAGATACGAATGAAGGTATAATATCTTATTCACTAATGCATGAGGAGTTGAAGGAAATAGTGTGTGTGTGTGTGTGTGTGTGTGTGTGTGTGTGTGTGTATGTGTGTATTTCCAGGACATTCTGAAACAATTACAAATAAAATAGCATAACTGGAAAAAATAGAAAATACAGAAGATAGATTAATCTAGTTAACATAATTAGGGACTATCATAGGGACTGGAATACAATAGATCTATAATTACTAATTCCTTTGGAGAGACATGGCATGTTTATGCTATTTAGACTTCCCATTTAGGGACATTTCTCCATTGAGTCAAGCTTTCTTTTCTCTTAGAAATATATACAAGTCTCTTCCCAGGTTTTTTAAATATATGTTTTTAAAGTAATATGATGAGGACTGCTACAGTAAAAAAAGAAATAGACCAAGACTAAGGAAAGAGTCACAAAGAGAAACAGGTTTTGCAATTAGCAGTGCGGCACTCAGTTACAACTCACTATTCATATAGGTGATGATACTTCCTCCTTTGTCTCTTTGGGCATACCCTCACATACACATATCAAGTAATCACTTTTAATTGTCTTACACTCAAACCTCAAAGGCAGCAGCAGCAGTTTAATGTTCCTATTCTGCTATTTCAGGAGGGGGAACCTTTTCCTTATCAAGAATTACTTACTCCAAGGCAGAAAAATCAATTAGTGTATATATAAAATAAAAGCTACTTTTATTTATTGTACATCTTTTAAGACTACAGGAGAACACTTTTAATGAAAATCTTAAATAGGAAAACCAAACTTCAATATGTAAGAAATAAGAGTTCTATATTATGAGCAATTAACTGAGGTAGGAGTCAAAAGAAATGAAGAAGAAAAGGAGATAATAAATGGAGAAAATAAAAAATTCTTGGCAATAGTTTGGGTCCCCTCATCTGCTCCCCACCGGCAAAATCCTTCCTCTGAGAGAGGCCCAGACCCAGCAGACAGTATATCAGACCAAATGCATACCATTTGTCAAAACCTTTTATGTTCTCCTTAACATCAAATACCTGCTTTCAGTCCTCTCAGAGTTGAAACTGTTAGGACTGAGTATGTTCTTAGTAGGAATCTTTTATGGGTATGTGTTATTTTGGTTAATTTCTGCTTGTGTATTTGTGTAAATATACTAAAACCTATATTATTGTATGCTTACACAACCAGATTACAGCTGGTGTTTTAAACGTCTCTCAGACTGTCTATGCAAATCTTCAATCTAACAGCCAGGCCAAAAACCCAGAATGTCATTACAAAGTAGTTTCTGATGACTTTAAGCACAAGAAAGCTAGGAGGGAATAACATTTGTGCAACCAAACTGGCGGTTCATTCATTCAATAAATACTTGCTGAGCATCTATGATGTGTGCCAAACACTCAGTGAGCTAGGAATACAATGGTGAATAAGAAAGGCATGGTCTGTGGCAAAGAACAGAAATCAAATCCCTTTGGGAGTAATACTTAATTGATCTGTGAAATCGTGTTCAGTTTAAGTGAAGTTTTCAGATACCTTGAGATTATCCTTTACCATAAACATTTAAATATTTAATTCAAATAATTTCTGATGAAAAAAATTAAGCTATGATGCATATTTCCCTTTTCTACAAATGATATACCTTAATACACTTTTACCATTTCTTAATAAGCATCAATTTTACGATGCTAAAATATACTAATAACTTACAATATTACTGAAATATGGAGGGTTCTCTGCATATATTTTAATGGTGTCAAACTGCTGTTTTTAGAGCTTCACTACCTTTAAATATCTAACAGACATAGCTTTTAAAACATAATGAGATATTATTAATACCTTTCAAGCCCCCTTATGCCTCTTTCACACTGAATTTTCCCTCCCTTTAGAGTTAACCACTGACTTGAATTTGTTTAATATGTGTCTGCTTTTTACAATTTCATTTTTTCCTTCAAATTACTTTTGATGTTTTTAATGTCTACTTTTAGGTGGCCAACAGATATGAAAATATGCTCAACATCACTGATCATCATGGAAATGCAAATAAAAACCACAATGAGGTATCACCTCATACCAGTCAGAATGACTATTATCAAAAAGTCAACAAATAACATGTGCTGGTGAAGATGTGGAGAAAAGGGAACCCTTGTGCACTATTGATGGGACTACAAATTGGTGCAGCCACCATGTAAAACAGTATGGAGGTTCCTCGAAAAACTAAAAATAGATATACTATACAACCCAACAATTCCATTTTTGGGTATTTATCTGAAGAAAACAAAAACACTCTCAAAAAGATATATGCACCCCCATGTTCAATGCAGCATTATTTACAATAGCCAAGATATGGAAGCAACCTAGGTGTCCGATAGATGGACATTACACACATTACCCATTACACACACACACACACAGAGGAATATAACGCAGCAATAAAAAAGAATAAAATCTTGCCATTTATGACAATATGGATAGATCTAGAGAGTATTAGGCTAAGTGAAATAAGTCAGGCAGAGTCAAATACTGTCCAGTTTCACTTATGTGTGGAATTTAAAAGAAACGAATGAATAAAACAAAAAAACTCACAGAAACAAAGAGCAAAGGGACGGTTATCAGAAGGGAGCAGTGGGGGATGGGTAAAAAAAGTGAAGGGGAATATAATCAATAATATTGTGATAAATTTGCACGGTGACAAATCATTACTAGAATCAGTGGGGTGATGACATTGTAAGGTATAAAAATGTTGAATCACTACATTAGACACTGTTTTTACAATACCAAAATAGACATCTGTTAATCTGTTTTAAATTAGGATACTGAGAAGCAAGCTCATTAGGACTGTGCTTTTACATAAAATGTGATAGGTTCTAACTAAGAGAAGGCCTTGGGGTTCTCTTTTGAGTAAAGTTTGAGAATTACTGCACCTTCATTGAGACATCTGTTTTGTCTATTTAAAGGTCTTTTGATTTTAATTTCTGCTACTTAAGATTGTTCCAGATGGTTGGAAATGCCAAGCAGATGGATAACCTTTAAGTCAGGTGTTATATAGCTGAGGGGTTTACAAATTAAAAGATCCTGAGGTGACATTAATGGTCATCAAATTCAACCTCTTCATTCCCTATGGGAAAAATGAAGTCCCAAAACTGAGTGATTTGCGTTAAGACACAGAGCTAGTTAATAGCAGGGTCAAGGTTAGTATTCAAGTCACTCCGTCCAGAGGTTTACAGCTGGCGATGCTCCAGGAGATATCTGGCAATGTCTGGGGACATTTGTGTTTGTCATACTAGGCAAATGCTACAGAAACCAGGAATGCTGCTAAACTTCTTTCAATGGAGAGGACAGCTCCTAACAACAAAGAATTATCTGGTCCAAAATATCAAGTGCTGAAGTTCAGAAACCCTGCTTTAGAACTACACTTTGTCACATCTGTATAATCAACTTTGACTTAATACAAGCACTCTGAGAAAAACAGTGTCAAAATAGGTTATTTCCCTTTAGTCAAACACTCAGGCAGATTTCAGGGTCCAGTGTATTTGAATCTGTGTGAGATGGAATGTGATGGATAAAAAGAACAGAACATACTCACCAGGAGCCAAAACCCAAAGGTCTCCTATCGTAATCTGGCAGATCTGGAGCAATCTTACAAGCTTGTATGTTCAGGTATTTAAATATATGGATTTTGCCTTTTATGCATATCTACATAAAGTAACAAATTCAACATTATTAGTAGCCTGAAATATATGTGTCCCTTTTTTAAAATCACAATCAACATTTTACTTAATGTATATTAGAAATAGAAGGCATTCCTATCAAGTACATATAGTAATATTAAAAGTCTAATACTCATAACAAATTATATTGTTATTTTAGGTGTTTAAGTGATATAAATATAAGTTTTATTTTCTAATCACTAAAAAGTTTCAGTAACACATAAAATAATTTATGATAACAGACAGAATACCAAGTAAATTTATCACACTGATTAGTTAGGCATAGTCAGGGATTTAAAGCATTGCTCCCCCAGGGATAATATTAGCAACTTTTGCTTTTAGGAATGCAACGATCATGTACAATTATGTTTTCAATGCTACTTTCTATAAGAGAGAAAAACAGGAGATAATTAAATATTAAGCTACACATGTTTCTTTTGCTACCTGTTGACAAAGTCAAAACATAAATTCTTTAGGATTATGAGACCCTGCTACAGTTATGAAGTTTATTTATAAAGTTTTAGAGTTGCCATACAGAGGCCAGTAAATACCATCAATTGACTGTAGAGTAAAAAAGCTATAGTGAAAGACAGGCAGATAAAAATTTTTTATATTGTAGGATGTCTAAAACCTATACCTTATAATTACTTTATTATTAAATAGCTTCGTTCCAGTCACTGATAAACAAATGACCAAATTAAATGAAGAACTTAAGATTTCAGAAAACAGGAAGGTACACAAACAATGGTCAAAGAAATGCATTGATAATCTTTAGTTCTAAAAGCTAAGTATTTTTACTTGTCTCTAGCATTTACATTGTCTACATTCAAGTTTTACTAAAAAGAAATTAACTCAAATTTTATTAGAAAAAGCTTTAAGGAAGAATCCCACATCTTAAAAAAATAAAATGTCAGTTTAATGAAAGGAAAAACACTTCTGGAAACAGTACTATCCTCCACCTCATTTATTCAAGGCTTTGAAAGAATACATATGTGTGTGAATTTATTTTAAAAGAACTTAATTTCCAACAAAAAGATAAATACATATAACTTAAGTTTAAAATTTCATCCTTTGTAAAAAAAGTTCATAAAATACTTTAAATCAACTATGGTTTACCTGTGCAGGGGGAGACTGCAATGGGTTGTTATCTAGGGTGATCATCTGTAGGTGTCTGAGGTTCCGATAACAAACAGGGATTGCTATAACTTTATTGCAGGAAAAGTCTAACCGTATCAAAGGCAACTCTGCCAGCTCTGCAGGGAGATAAGATGAAGATGAACAATTAATGATATTTCAAAACTAGACAATTTTTATAGGAGCTTCTAGTTAAATACAGTGGATTTAACATAAGTATTTATCTCCATTCTTAGTGATTACATGATATATCAAAATGCTGTAAAATGTTTGACCCCACACAGAACTACAGCAAGTCGGAGGCCTGATACCACAGTAAGGTGGGGAAAACAAAGGTGTTAGATGATAGTCTATATAAACAACAAGTTAGAGATGCATAGGTTCCCAACCCTAACTCACACAGCTAGGGCACTACCGCTTTCCAATCACCACAGGTGTCAACAAGTTATTCTCTAGTGCAATTGAGCTGAAACGTTCTGAATTCAGGGATGCCAGGCACAATGGAGTCAGGATGAGTTGCCAGTTGAAAATGGAAGATTTAAGTGAAAGTCTACACACTTTAATAGCAAGACCTCAGCACTTTCCTACCCAACCCCACTCCATCCCCAGTTCTTGAATGTCAGTAGTTAGGAATATACACAACAATGAAGAAGAAATGAAGCATCCTTCTCCGGGAAACTACAGAGTCCCATATAAAAGGCCTTTACATACTCATATACAGTCTCCCCCCCCAATCCTGAGTACCCAGCTTGCTGCTTAATTACCATTATACAATTACTGCCCAGTATGCTTGGAACTTCTAATCAGCTCTATACTGATAGTTTAGGATCCACAGACATTTGGAAACGCCTCCAACATGTAAGATGGAAATCAAAACACACAAACCAATTAAAAAGAGTAACTCAGAAGAAAGAAGTAACATATAGGAAACACTAGAAAAATTTGAAAAACAAGAACTAATATCTCTAATTTCAGAGAGATAAGATACTGAATTACTGAAACAATAAAAGAATGTTTTTTAAAAATCACAGAATAACAAGCATTCTGAGAAATAAAAAATATGATGGGAGAAATGGAAAATTCAGAAGAATTGTTAGAACATAAATGGTTGGAACTGTTTACCACATGGTAAAACAAAATGACAAAGAAATGAGCTATAAAAAAGATAAGAAAAATCATAGGATTAATTAAAGAGGTTCAATATACAATTAAAAAAAATTTCAGAAAGAAAGAACAGAGAAACCAGAGGACATGAAATTACCAAAAAGAGATGTAAGAATTTTCCAGAATGAAAGATGTGGATCTTTGGTTTGGAAAGAAGCCCACCAAGTATCCAGTACAGTGAATTAAAACAACTCATACTATGGCACATCATAAAATGTCAAAACAGTAAAAAAAAATAAAAAGAAAAAAGGGACCTTAAAATCTTCCAGAGAGAAAAAAACAGGTCATGAACAATGGACTATAATTAGGAATACATCACATTTTCAACCAATAATTTTTAAACTAAAAGCTAAAAGTGAAAAAAAGACCTGAAAAGCCTAAAAATTATTTTCAACCTAGAATCTATAACCAAATTATTAATCAAGGGTAAGTGTAGAATAAAGATATTTATTTTCAAGTCAAGTCTCAAAAAAATGTTTTCCCATGACATGTTTTCAGGAAACTATCAGAAAATACCCTCCAGCAAAATAAAAGTGTAAAGAAAGACAGAGGAATTACTTGTCAATTATATCTCAATAAAGCCAAAATTAAAAAAAAAAAAAAAAGCAAGAAAGAGGAAGACAAGGAGTCCAGGAATAAAGAGTATTCAATATAGAAGAAAGCTGGGCAGCAATAACAGAACCACCAGCCCAGACTGGAAGAGGCTGAGTGAGGGAAATATGCAGGGAATAAAAAAATGATAGATAATCTGATGGTTTGACTAATAAGGCTGCAGGGAAAAGGAGGAGGAATTAGCCATAGATACATAAAAACCTCAGCAAATTAAAAAAAAACCAGAGGAATTATTAACTCTAGAAAAACAACAAAAATAAGATATACAAGAAAGAAAATAAAATCAAATTACTTTACCTGAATTGGCAGGGAACAATATACAGTCAATAGTAATGTAAACAATAATGATTTAATCAAAAGTTGTGATAAAACTACACTGGAAAGATGCAAGGAGGGAAGTAAAGATATGATGGTGATAGTGTAAGGAGGTTAAACCTCATCTACCACAATAGGAAGCTGAGTGTCAAAGTTGACAAATCCAGCAATAACTGTAAAAGCACATCATTAGAAATATGTCAGCAAATACCAGTAGAAAGAGTCAAAGGAATTGAAGGTAGATGCATCTGGCTAATGAAAGGGGGCGGGGATGGAGGTGGGTGGGGAGGAAATGGTTGAAGCAAGGAGATGCTATTATTTTAAGCTTTTTAATACTATTTGACTTTTTGAATGCTATATTATTTGATAAAAATTAAAATTAATTTAAAATCAAAATGGCAATATAACAAAGGATGCAAAATCTACAAAATTATGTTAGAGACTACCAATTAATTAACATGAACTTGCACACTAACTTGTGTAGCTGTTGGAATAAAGCTTTCCAGTCATCTCATTTAAATTGACTATGCTGAGATTACAAGATAAAATGATTAAAAAAATTTTTTTGAAACTATTTGGCAGTTTCACAATTTTCTTGGTAATATGCATTCAAAATAAGATATAGGAATATATTAGATAAAACTATTAGACTGCAATTGTCATCTGAAGCCCAAGTTTTCACCAAAACCCCAATGTTTTCATTGATCCATTTCACATTAAGTCAGTATTATTACATGGGTAAGCCTTTGAAGATCAGCGGCAGTAGGTGGGTCCTGAATAGGGGAGTAATCCTAGATAAAAATTTGGGGTTATAAGGTCCTATGTCATAATTTTGGTCAGTTCTACTAAGGCCTTCATTCACATTCCTGAGGTGGTAGAAAGCAGAACCAGGAATAAATCAGGAAGGCTCTGAAGATAAAAGGTGTAAAGGTTACTGAGCAAGTCGAGTGAGAAGAAAGAGATGCAGGATTTGGGGTAGTGTGGTTACAGTAAATGTATAAAAGTGGACTAGAAAAGTCACTTTCTGAGACGCTTACTTGGGATCCAAAATATCAAAGCTACACTAGTATGTTAGAACTAAACATCGTACTAGATCAAATTGGTATAAACATTTCGTTTATGATGAAGCAAAAGCATCATTAGTTAATTCAATATTTATTATACACTAGAAGTCATGTTTTGTCAAAGAACCTAGAGAATCACTGTCATGAAAACACTTCATGAAGATTCATTATCTTTCTGAATCACATTCTGAAATGTTACAGATGAATTTCTATAAGTTGTTTCATATTAATCAAGAGCAGCGGTTTGCAACCTTTCACAGGGGTCGCCTAAGACCATCGGAAAACACATATTTTCGATGGTCTTAGGAACCGAGACACCGCTCCTCTATCCGTCTCCAGGCCCACATGCAGATATGCCCACATACGGGTACCTGGCGACCCCTGTGAAAGGGTCGTTTGATCCCAAAGGGGTCGCCGAGACCCACAGGCTGAGAACCGCTGAAGGATACAGTTAAGGGAAACTGGGTGGGAGTATAGATGAAATAGGAGTTGCCATGAGCTGATCACTACTGTAGCTGGAGGATTCATCGCTCTCATTTATATATGGGAACTGTTCCATAATAAAATTAAAGAAATATATATTCTGATCTAATAAAATAATATTCTCTCCATTTTTATTTTGATAGCTTTTTCTTTCATGAATCTGTATTTTTGAAAGATTAATAAATTATACTTAATTAATTTTTAAATCATTTTTATCATTCAAATACATATACCAGAGCTTATAGTCAGCCTAAGATAAACCAGTCTCGTAGTGCAGTCTCTCACTCCATTCATTATTCACTGTAGGCATCACTTTCACAAGGTTAATTAGCCTCTACTTGAATATTTCCACTGAAGGATCAAGATATTAAGTTCAAGTCAAGTCCATTTTTAAGTCAGTGTTAATTCCAGGAATTTTTTCATTATACTAAACTATCCCCTTATCAAAAATATAAATCTCCCGTGTCCCACTGAAACCTCCAGTGACCTTACCCTGAGTTATCGATTTCATCAGTTGACAAGATCTAAAAATACAATTACTGGTCAATAGTTATTGAACTTCTCACTGAAGAGTCTAACTTTTAAAATTCACAATGGAACAGATAACATATTAAATAAACCATTACATCTCAAACATTGGCTATAACTCGCATACATTATTGTCTTGTGCCCATCAGCCTGAGAAATCTTTAAAATAAAACACAAATAATAATAAAACAATTATTTCACAGTTTCTTTCTTACCTTCAGGCAAACGTACTAAGTGATTTCTTCTAACGTTAAGGTCTCTCAATGCCTCCAAATTACCTATTTGGGAAGGTATTGTTTGAATTTCATTGCAGCTTACATCCTATTTCAAAAAGATACAAAGTAAAGAATTATTCTAATATTACAAACTTGCTTCCTTTAAACTATCTAAAAAATGAGGTTGGACAAGATAATTAATACCTGTGGTCCCTCCAAGCTGTAAAAAAAAAAATTATGATTCTGTGTCCAAGAATAATTCCATAGTTTGTACTAGCATTTAATTTTAAAAGCTTACAGGTTTTTGAATGATTCTATACAGTTTATATATATCTACATTAATTTTATGAGCAGAACTAAAACTAAATGACTTAAGATGTGGGTAGGAGGCCTAGAGTATCAGTTCAAAAAAATGTTGGTGAAAAAGTAAAATGTAAAAAAGTATAAAAACATCTATTTAGAACAATATTCTGATTTTATATTGTTCTAATGAAGCTAGAAGAAAAAATACAAATTATAATAAAATTATTTGAAAGGGAATCCTATTTTCAACTGCTCAAGGATGTAAAATATAAAGGCATTGAAGATGATTCAAATCATTCTTTATCAAACTGAAAGCAAGGAGAAAATAATAAAGTACATATTGCTCAAAAGGCTATAGAAAAAATATATAATTCTTTATTAGCATCTGATCAACCTGATTCCAATACATATTAGGAAGGCTTTCTGGTATGCTGGTAAATAGCTTGATTCTAATTCTACTGGTTCTGAGAAGAGACTGACTACAGGTTGCAAAACTGATATATCCAGGATTCCATAATTCTGAGGCCAGCCAGAATAACATGTAAATCCATATCTAGCAGCAGGAACGTGCTTAAGTTAATAAAAGTGCCCTGATGCCACATTAACACTTAAAATTCCTCCAATAAATGAGTAAAAAGAAAATACTAATAGACTTACTGTAACCTAAAACTTAATAAGCTTAAGACATTAAGACCACTTAACCTAAAATTTAATAAGCTTCAGACATTATTTTTAAATTTTTCCAAAATATTTTTGGAGAAAATACTATTTTTATTTTTCCTACCAATTAATGACTTAAGTAGAATAAGAAGCTAGACTTCTTAGTCCAGTGCTCTGGGCATCAAAGTTAAAGGTGTTTTAAAAGAAGTTAAAAGGCTAGGAAAATTAAGCCTGAGCCAGAAGGTAATAGCAATCTATTAAAGACAGCACTTTATAATTTCACTAAAAAAATGAATCAGGATGTTACAGAAAGACCCATCAAGTGGGAATCAGGAGCTCTGGGATTACCAATTCTTACTCTGCCACAAGCTGTTTGTATGACTGAGGGTATCAAGTCACATCTTATACAAAGCTAAACGCACCTTTTGTGAGACATATCTATCTTTTAAGTATCTAGAATTCAATAAGTAGAAACAGAAAGTTTAAATGATTTGAAAATCAGAATTTCAATCATGAGTATAATTTACTACTAGTTCATGTTATTAACCCAAGATCTGAAGAAGCGCCAACAAACATACATTTTGGACTTTATTTCCTAGATCTAATTGGCTCTAAAACAGTGGTCTATTTAATATATTTGTGAATTTTTACATATGACCTTTTATATTCATAATCTACCTGAAAAAAAGTGAGATAATGAGATCCAGTTAGATTATATGTGTACAGTATTCATTTTTTATGATGTCCATCTTTGTTTATAAACCTACATGGAACTAAACTATACTCCCAAATCTCAATAGACATAATTGTATTTGACCATTTCAGAAATATGAAACATAGGCTTTGGAGTTAAGGTAGACTGGTTTCAAATTCTACTTCAGTTGTGGAACCTTGGGCAAATTACTTACCCTGAGTGCTAGTTTTCTCAGCTGTAATATGATGATCATTATAGTATCCAATTCTTAATGTTATTGTGGTGATAAAATGAGAAAAGTCTTATATGCCCAGGAATAAGTACTCAAGAGTAACAAGGGGTACTAGGTGAAGGTTAAGCTTCTTAGAAATATAAAGCAGGAAAGAATAGCTTACTTTAGAGTGGGAGATAGTTTCTAAAGATGCATGTAAGGTAAAAATACAAGCCTTACCTTTGTCTTGTCCATTTCCCTATAGGGGCAAACCAAAAATCAGAGTACTGATGCTACTAACAAGATTTAATTCTAAAAGTTCAAATGCATTGTTAACTTATACCTCAAAAGTTTAATAACATAAAAATAAAAAAATAAAAATAAAAAAAATAAAAATCAATGAATATTGGTTAGAACCTAATTCTAATGACCTTTTCCCATTTCATGTGGGCCAGTTAGACCTGTGCTTTCAGTTCCTTCTTAATTCTGTGCTAAAACACTGGAGTATTGATCAATCAGTGAAACTTCATTATCAATACTTGAAAATAACATAAAAACATAACTTAATAATGGATCTTTAGCATATATAAGAGTATGGTATGACTATGCATACTGGGGATGCCAAAAAAATGTATACAAGTGGACACTTTGGTCAACGTTGCTCAAGCAGTAGTTCGCTGTAATAAGAAGTGTCTGGATGCTGATGAGCACCTCTTGTAATTGCAGAAGTCAAACGTGACTTGTATTCATCTTTTGTTATTGGTATATATTATTACAATTTTAATACAGTTTTCCTTTCNTATATATATATATGACAATCAAAAAATAAAATATTAACTTACAAGTTCTGTTAAATGTCTGAGATGTCCAATTTCTTCTGGAAGTGAGACCAATTTGTTATTACTAGCAATTAAGACTTTCAATGGTAAATTACACAAATGTACTGGCAATGTTGACAGTTGGTTCCGACTAAAATGGGTTAAGTGGAAAAAGAGAAGAGTCAGAGCCCAATACTCAAGAAAAATACTTCCATATTTCCCAGCCTATATTCAGTAAAATTACAAATACAAGTCTTGCAAGAAGAAATAGGATATTAGATTTGAGTTTTAACTTGCTAGGTTTGTGCTTTTTATAGATTCCTCATCTATAAATTAAGGATCTTAATTGCCTCTACCTATCTTACAAGGGTTTTGTAAAACACCTTTGTAAATAATGAAGTGCTATATAAATACAACATATTATTTTATTAAAGTTAAATTTATATAAGAAAAAATGATTTAAAAATAGGGTAGATAACTATCATCCTCTCCTCTTCCTTCCAAAGAAAAGTTATAAACATAAAAGTGTTTGTAATCTCCTTCCCTCATCATTATAGTATTATAACCAAATCTATTTATGATCCAAATATAATTTTATGGAAAACAAGTGACAGGTTGTGATTTTAAATATATCATATCAATGAAGTATAGGTAAGAAATATTTTATTTATACAAAAATAAGCAAATCAAAACTAAAATAAAAATAAAAAACATCATTAGGATAAAAAGTTAAAATTTTACTTATGTCAATTTAACTTCTTAATCCTTAGGACCAATTGTCCCCCATTTTCAAGATCTTTTGCTGATTTAACTAATAGAGATCACGAGCCCTTAAAATTTTAACCCAATTATAATTGTACTCCTAGACATTAATCTTAAGAGAAAAATAAACATTTACATATAAAACTGTTTACTAGTATTACTTTTATCATAGCAAAAAGACCCAAAAGCAACTAAATATCTGAGAGGGAAAACGAGTTTTAGAAGTATATAAACTATACAATAAAATGATTACATATAAAAATACTTCCAATGGATTATTTCATGACAAGGGAAAAACTCATTTAAAAACTTGACTAAAAGCCTGGAAAAACAGAATAGATCATCTATAAATATATAACTCAGATAAAATATTTTGATGAATTTCCTTTACACTTTTCTACATTTGTTCATTTTCTCTAATGAACATTTATAACTTTTATAGTGAAATAAAATAACAAAATATTCTTGTAAGATGTGAAAAAATGAAATGATTTGAATAAATGCATTTATACATTCAGAACTTAACACAAAAATACATAATCACAAGAACCAAGCAAAGTAATTACAAATCTACTATTCTCATATGATTCACCTTATTTTAAAATGTAATGGAGGACCAAAGCTACAAGACTGCTGCAAGCCTATTAGGCTAATGGATATTAGAATTTGTTAGCTACTGCAAACACATAGGGATATAGGAAATATATATCCTAACAACATGTATAAATACTGCTGATGTGAACACATTAACGTAAATTTTAGTGAAAGGGAAGAGAAAATTGAAAAGACCACATAAAACCAAGCATTTTAAAAAAGAAACATCCTTACCTAATATTTAAGAACGTTAGAGCTTGTAGGTTTAGAATTGCCTCTGGTATATACCGAATACAATTTTGGTATAAGTTGAGATTCTCAAGAGAAACGAAGTGACATGCTTCTATGGGAATTTCTGAGAGGCGATTTCGTGACAGATCTGAAAGAAAAAAAATAAATTAAGTTTAAAACCAATCCTTGGAGCTTATTTTATTGAAATGTTAAATAGGCAGGTTTCATGAATGTCTGAATTCCCCAGAGCTCCTATTGTGGGGATTGATCCAGAGTAAACATTCAAATATTTATTAATTGAATAAACTGTTTTAACATATGACTCTGAGAAATGCTGACTCCTTTTGAGTGTACATCTACTAAAATCTAAAACCATTATTCTTTGCAAGTAATACAAATTCTAAGGCATATCTGCCTACAGATTACATCAAAGATCATACTAAGTACCAAATATCCAAGGAAACAAATACATCCCTAAAACTCACCTTCCCAAAAGCAAAGCAAAGCAAAGCAAAGCAAAACAAAACAAAACAAAAAATACTGTCCCTTTCTTTATCAAAGATGATCAGGATCATGTCAAAAGGACTCAGGAACCATCTTTGCTCCCACTGGCCAAAAATGAGACAACTTGAGCTTCAATGAAGATAACTGCAATGGATTGAAATCTATCACACATGTCCCCCTCCACTCTAAAAAGATGATAGAGAATTCATTATCTTGTAAACTAATAAAGGGGAAAAATTATTTTTCTTGTCTTCCCTATAAATGAACTGTATCACTGAGTAACCAAATAGTTATATAAAGGGAAGCATTTCTATATAAGTGTTCTAACTATAAATGAAAAATGACAGACTATCATCATTTTGCAACCCTCAATAAATTATTAGAATTATTATTAATGGTTGTTAGCTTTACAAAAAGACAATCAGAAATGATATGCCTCCTATTAGAATAGTACACCACTTATGGTCTTGCCAAAGGGACAGAACTTGAGTCAATCAAGCTTCTATATCATCTGCAAACTTTCAGGAAATGCAGAGGACAAAGGAATGTGTTGAAATACAGTCACTCTATCATTATCCATTTAGATTTAATTAAATGTACTTGCAATTCATTTGCTCACCACTATTTTCTCTCTTCTTCGGCCCTCTCTAAAAGACTCTGTTGGGAAGTATCTGTAAGGATCCTTTACTGAGAGCTTACCCTAGAGGACTGAATCCCTGCACATCTGCAAATATTTTGCTTTCACCATAACAAATGAATGATATTGGGTCATCAGGAAAGTCATGACGCATTTTTGCATTGAAAAACATAGGAAAATACGTCATGACTTCCGACGACCCAATATTTTGGCTAGGAATAGGTACAGTTCTTTTCTTAGTAATCTGTAGATGTTATTTTACCACCTTCTAGTTTCCAATGCCGCATTGAGTAGTCCAGCACATATGTGATCATTTTTCCTGTGTATGCAACTTGTTCTTTGTCTCTGCAACCCAGCCCCCACCCCCCACCCCCAACACTCTGGTCTGGTACTCAGTGGGCTCTTTCAATCCTTCTTTAAACCAGAGAAATTCTCCTCTATTATATTTTTAGTTGCTCCATCTCCTCATTTTGCTCTTTCTCCTTTCTATTTTTTTTTTGGTCTTGATATACTCTTCTACTTAATGTTCCAGATCATGAATTTAAATCTCAACAATAATCATCCTCTCTGCAAATTAATATATATATTAAGGTTTTTTCCCCTCACTTTTTAATTCTTCTATGCTATGATTACAAGCATGTCAGCTTGTTTCTCTTGAGACTCTCAGGATAATTTGTTTTGTTTTACTTGTTAAATTTGTCATGTATCTCTTCCAATAGTTCTATTTCACTGAAGTTACTTGTTCGAGACATAATCCTTGTTGATCCTCTCTTTGACTGCTGGAGTTCCTTTACATAAATTATTAAATTATTTCCATTACCAATTCACACCTTGTCTCACCTTTGCTGTTCAGGTCAAGCTGCTAGAGTTAACGCCAAAATAATGGAAGCAACCTCTACAATGTGCTGAAACTAAGCTTCCCCTGAGAAAGCAAAAGTTTTGGTAATTGCCACATAAATAATTGCCACATAGACTTGTGTTCATCTGGCTGGGTCCCAGTATATGCCCCAGACTCACATATTCCCTACAGGTCTCACTAGCCTATGAGCTCCAGTGCTTCACTCTGAAGTGACAGTAACTGAGGTTGGGAAACAGTTCACCATCTTGACATAATTAGGAAAAAGTTCAAGCCCAAGTAACAGAGACCATCAAGTACTGAAGGCTAAATAATTCCTACAAAATCACATTGTAAATAATTTCTTTAATATAAAGCACAACAAGAATTATTTTATCAATTCCTATTTAAGTTTTATTAGTATAATCTTTTGTTTGTTTGGAGAATTTAATTCATTTTCTATTTAAAATAATTATTAATACAGAAGGACTTCCAATTGAGATGTTAGTTGGGTTTTTTTTCTGAAACAAACATTTTTTTTAATTAGTTTCAGCTGTACAACACAGTGCAATAGTTATACTTTTTACCCCTCAAAGTGACAACTCCCCTCCTCCTATGTGTAAGCCCCACTGCCCCCCCCATATCATACATATCTATTACAATTCCCTTGACTCCACGCCCACACTAGACTCCACGTCCCGTGACCATATATATATATATATATATATATATATATATATATATATTTTTTTTTAGCTGAGCCATCCTGCTACCTGTTGGCAGCTCAGCGGCTGCTCAGCTCGGGCTGGACTCGAACTGCTGTTGCTCAGAGCTCAAANAGCGGCTGCTCAGCTCGGGCTGGACTCGAACTGCTGTTGCTCAGAGCTCAAACTCTTGAGTGAGCTCTTAACCAACTGAGCCACTCGGCCGGCCCTTCGTGACTATATATATATTCAATTATAGTTGACATACAATATTATACAACGTTTAGTATAATCTTAAAAGTTGAAATAATTAAAGTAATTAACTTCAACTGCAGGCTGATCATTAAATATTTAAATTTAACCCCCAAAATGACAACTTCAGGAAACAAATTAAATTTAAGCAGGGACTATTTAAAGTTAGTCTTCTTAATATTTGTATTATTAAACTAAATTATTTAAAATCAAGAAAAAGGAAACAAATAACATCCGTCTTTTTTTGGTTTCCATACTAAGGAGAGAAAAAAATGACAGCAAGATATACACTAAGCTTACATGCATCTCAATAAACAAGTACTCCTTAATTTTTAAATAATTAGCTAATTTACGCCATAGCCTACTTTTGAAACCAGAGTTTCTGCCTAAGGGCTCTTGTAAGTTCTCCTACTTAAATTGTATTTTGATTTCAATTTGGGAGGACAAGTAGCTTCTTCTTTGTGTTAACTGAACAATTTTTTACATGCTATAAATTCATGAAAGACGTTGAATTAATTATGTCATAGATTATATTATGGAAAATACTGCAAAGTACTACTGCTTTATAAAGGATTTTTTTTGCCATACTCTCCCAAGGAGAAAATTTTACAGCTAAAGAAATGTGATAAAAGAGAAAAAAAATAATCTTAAAAAAGCCTACAGTTAAAAAAATATATGGATATGTTTCATTCTTTTTAAAACAATTTTTTATTTTTCAATTATAGTTGACATTCAATATTATATTAGTTTCACGTGTACAGCATAGTGGTTAGACATTTATATAACTTACAAAGTGAAACCCTGATAAGTTTTGTAACCCACCTGACACCGTGTATAGTTATTACAATATTATTCACTATATTCTCTAAACTGTGCTTTACATCCCTGTAGCTATTTTGTTACTATCAATTTGTATTTCTTAATTCCTTCATCTTTTTCACCCAATCCCCAACCTCCCTCCCATCTGGCAATTGTTTTCTGATTGTTTTTGTACTCCTCTGTTCCTTTCTTATTCTCTTGCTCTCTTCCCTTGTACATTGAAAACTTTCTGTAGTGTTGTGTTTGGATTGCTTTCTTACTCTCTCTCTCTTTTTTTTTAAAGTTTTATTGGGGAATTGGGGAAGGGGACCAGCCAAGTTGTTGTTCTTCAATCTTCGTTGTGGAGGGCGCCAGTCGCCATCTAGCTGGCTGCCCATCGGCAGCTCGTGGCCTCTAAGCTCAAGGTGCTGTGTTCAATCTTAGTTTCAGGTGGGCGTAGCCACCATCCCATGCGGGGAGTCAAACCAGCAGCCTCGTTGTTAAGAGTGCATGCTCTGTCCACTGAGCCATCCTGGTGGCAGCTCAGCTCAAGGTGCGGATTTCAGTCTTAGTTGTGGGTGGGCATAGCCCACACTCGAACAGGCAATCTTGTTACACAGGCTGAGCCATCCTGCCACCTATTGGCAGTTCGGTGACAGCTCAGCTTGGGCACAGCATCACTGGCCCATGTGGGAATCGAACCGGCGGCCCTTTTGCTCAGAGCTTGTGCTCTTAAGCCAACTCTTAACCAACTGAGCCACTCGGCTGGCCCATGGATTGCTTTCTCTTTATTTCTTGTGTAGCTCTTGTAGATTTCGGTTTATATTTACCAGGTACTTCATGTATATCAAGGTATGTTTATAACAGCCTATTTCAAATTGATGGTTGTTTAAGTTCAAACACATTCTGAAATCACTACCATTTTTACTCACCCCCTCTACATCTGATTGTTATTTTTTATTTTTTATTTTTTTTAGGGGAATTGGGGGGGATGGGAACAGTGCTGGGGAATTGGGGGAAGGGGAACAGACAAGTTGCTGTCGTTTTGTTCTTCAGTCTAGTTGTGGAGGATGTTGCTTCACTGGCCCAAGTTGGCACCATCATTGCGCTCTTCCCAGGTGAGGCACATCAGTTGCCAGGTTGTGGATGGCCGCTCACTGTGGCTGCTGGCCGCTCACGCTGGCTGCTGGCTACACACGGTAGCCCATGGCAACCCACTGCCACAGGGGCTGCAGCCTACGCCATCGCTGGCGACTCACGGCAGCCCAGCTCCAGGTTGAGCTGTTTTTCAGCATCTTAGCTGTAGGGGGCAGTGTCACTGGCCCTCATATGTGGGATCCGAACTGGGGCCCTCTGGCATCCCAAGCCAGTTCTTAACCAATCTGATTGTTATTTTTAATTTTTGTTTTGTGTTTTGT